TGACGTGACTTGTAAACTGGCCGTTTTCCGTAATCCACCACTTTATCTTCCATTTACACTCATTAATCCGCTCTTAATCTGGAGCTCAATTTTTACATGTGGAGATTATCACGGTCAGTTTAGTGGTGTGTTGCTCATTAACAGGCAGACCACCTCCTCTATCCCCAACACTCATGAGGGGGTGGGACTACAGCAGGAGTCAGTGTAATCTGGGTCCTCCTCAAACCCGTCGCCTGCTGTTTGTTGCTGTGGATTAATCTGTCGCTGTTTCCTTCGTGTCGAGTCGCGTCAAACATAATCTGTGAGAATAATCTTCCAGACGCACGTAAGCCGCGAGTACAAATATACAAGGACGGAACTGAGCGGTCTCTCTGTGAGGCCTGGTCCAGAGAGAGAGACCAGAGAGAGAGAGAGAGAGACCAGTGAGAGAGAGAGAGAGACCAGAGAGAGACCAGAGAGAGACCAGAGAGAGAGACCAGAGAGAGAGAGAGAGAGACCAGAGAGAGACCAGAGAGAGAGACCAGAGAGAGACCAGAGAGAGACCAGAGAGAGAGACCAGAGAGAGAGAGAGAGAGACCAGTGAGAGAGAGAGAGAGACCAGAGAGAGAGACCAGAGAGAGAGACCAGAGAGAGACCAGTGAGAGAGACCAGAGAGAGAGAGAGAGAGACCAGTGAGAGAGAGAGAGAGACCAGAGAGAGACCAGAGAGAGAGAGAGAGAGACCAGTGAGAGACCAGAGAGAGAGACCAGAGAGAGAGAGAGAGAGAGACCAGAGAGAAACCAGAGAGAGACCAGGGAGAGACCAGAGAGAGACCAGTGAGAGACCAGAGAGGGACCAGAGAGAGTGCAGAGAGAGAGACCTGAGGGAAACCAGTGAGAGACCAGGGAGAGACTAGAGAGAGAGACCAGAGTAAGACCAGATAGAGAGACAGAGAGAGATATATCAGAGAGAGAGACACCAAAACGAGGGACAAGAAAAAGACCAGAGAGAGAGACCAGAGACACAGAGAGAAAGAGACCAGAGAGAGACTAGAGAAAGACTAGAGAGACTAGAGAGAGAGAGACCAGATAAAGAGACCAGAGAAAGACCAGAGAGAGACCAAAGAGAGACCAGAGAGAGACCAGAGAGGGACCAGAGAGAGACCAATGAGAGACCAGAGAGAGACCAGAGAGAGACCAGAGAGAGAGACCAGAGAGAGAGACCAGAGAGAGACCAGAGAGAGACCAGAGATAGAGACCAGAGAGAGAGACCAGAGAGAGACCAGAGAGAGACCAGAGATAGAACAGAGAGAGGGACCAAAGAGAAACCAGAGAGAGAGACTAGAGAGCAACCAGCAAGAGAAACTAGAGAAAGACCAGAGAGAAACCAGAGAGATACAAGAGAGAACGATCCGAGACAGACTAGAGCGAGACCAGAGCGAGACCAGAAAGAGACCAGAGAGAAATCATAGACCAAAAAACTGTCTGCAGCTGAGCTTTTCCACAGAAGAGGCTCAGGGATCTCTTCATCCCATCCCCACTCCCCCCTCTCCCCCCCGCACCCATCCCCCTATTGTGTTTTTTGCATTTTTCGACCTCTTTTTAAGACTTGGCTTTTTTGTGTCCGGTCAGCAAAGCCAATCCGGAGCGGAGAGAGTGTAAGGAAGGGGGGCTCTGGTTGAATGAAGCAGTTAAAGCCTGCAGGGACGTATGCTTTGTGACTGCTTTAAGCACGGAGGGGTGGGGTGGGGGGGGGGACAAAGGAGACCCCAGGAGAGGGAGGGAGGCGGCTGAGAGTAAGAGCATGGATGGATGAAGTTGTCAAACCAACACTGAAACACTCCGAGCAGCATGAGAGAGTGGCATATTCAGGGTGTTTACATGAGGGTCACAGACTGTACTGGTCCTGGACTGTTCTGGTCCTGGACTGTACTGGTCCTGGGCTGTACTGGTCCTGGACTCACAGGTCTGGGTCTTAGCTGTGTTTGCTTCACTGTGGCTTCTGTTTATGTTTTAGACCGTGACATTTCATAAGTAGACTATATGTGGATAAATATGTTTAACTCATTGACTGCCTTTGACGAATTTATCTGAGACTGGTGATATCTGTCAAACTGTCCTCTATTCGACTGGGGATCACAGGAGAACAGAAATAGCTAGAAACAAATGTATTCCTGCTGATGAAAATAGACAATCCAGTCTTTCAGAATCTGGTCTCATAATTTCCATAGTCATAGCACAAAATATTCTGTGGGTCTTGAGAATCAGTGAAATCATCAAAAACGGCTTGCAGTCACTGAGTTAATGAGTAAGTAAGTAACCATTGGGGAAAAGTAAGGCATCTGTCGCTCTGCTTTCATAATAATACATCTGATATTGCGTCTTATCCAGAGAAATGATCAAAAACATCCTTGTATTAAGTTTGAAAATGGATCAGATAGACAGAAGGGGCGGGGGGACGTGCCAAACCGACGATTGTGGATGGACGTAAAATCCCCTGCTGTTTCTGATGAGGAACTAGGTCGTGACATGGGGCTTGTTTCCAAACAGAGAGAGAGAATACATAACCACTGCTCCATTTCAGATCGAGGGAGACTCATGTAAACCCAGCTGCTGGCACGTAACCACGGAGACCGGATACTACCGTGACATAGCTAGCAGATGCCTTTATGAGCACATGTAAAAGCCTTAGAGTAGAAATGTAAGTGTTGTGTTGATCAGTCCTCTGCTCGTGATTCACTGTTTTGTTTTTTGTGACGTGAAGCAAAAGCTGTATGTCGTGTGAGTGTATAGAGAGTTTATACGGTATTATATATGACAGATTGTTATTTACAATTACTATGAGTGTGAGGCTCGAGGGGAAGACGACCAATGTCCATAAATGTCCATAAATGTTGATAAATGTCGTAGAATGTGGAGTAAGATAAGATCAGATAGAGTTTATTGATCCTCGGAGGGGTTTCTCATTGAGGCTAATCGAGGGAGGCTGTAGATCCAGGACTGAGGACCGAGGCGGGTCCCAGGTCCGCGGAGGACAGTCCACAGGTGCAGATGGAGGAGGCCGGGTCCAGGGGTCCCATTGTCACGCAGTTAAACAGATGTGTGAATAGCTAATAAGGCTTTGCGATGCGGTTTTCTGTCCAATACGGCCTATAGCTGTGATTGGACAGATAACCACTCCCACTGATGTAGACTGGCACCAGACTGGTCAGACCGCTGTCATAAGACCTACAAATACAGTATTTCAAACTCTATTCAAAATGTCACACTTTTGCGTCCTCTTTTTCTCTCGTTTCCGTCCAGTCCAAACCCTTCCCCTGCAGAGGCCTTACTCTCAGGCCGCCGTCTCTCGTCCCCTGCATCCTAAACGGGCCCCCAGCGCTCTCTTTCACACATTCCATGAAGAGCCATTGAGAACTTTGCTGCCAGTCTGCGGCACAAAGCCCTGGCCCAGTCCTGGACGCACCTTTCAGATGCTAAACGCTTTAGCTCCGCGCTGACGGGAAATAGCTCAGCGGCGCCATTCAAACCAGGGGCCGCTAATTAGTAGATTAATATGACGGGGGGTGCGCTGCTTTTGGATAAACTGACACACTCAAGATCTGCTTTGTGTCCCGGAGCTTTGAGCGTCACTACTTCAGGATTTATCACTTCTCACTGACATCGCACTTGGGGCAGAGTTGGCAAACAGGAAGAAACTATTCACCCAAAGAAATGTGGACGTTTGAACATGTGAGTTTAACCCTTTACCTTCGGAACTGAGGCATATAACTGCATCTCAACCATTTGGTAAAGGACTATGAATAAATAAAAAAACTGGGGTGTTACATTTATGAAAATCAAAACGAAAATTGGCATTGCTTTCTTCAAGGAGCGAACATTAAAGGTTTAAACCATGGATGTCAAAGTTAATCAGAGGCTAAAAAAACACATCTGCTTCAAGCCGAGGACTGGACTGGTTCAATGTTATTAAAACTTATTAAAATGAACCTTTTGAACCAAGACCTAACACAGTCGACCGTATTTTGTTTAATGTGAATAATCCAATATTTGTGTTTGGCTCGGTCATTTCAAGTGTAAATATGTTTCAACAGACTCAAAAACTAACTTCCTTCAAAGAGAAAACACATGAATATTAAATTAATAATCCAATATTTTCTCATGTCTTTGTGCGGCCGGTTGTAACACTAATAATCCCGGGGCCGAGATCATTCTTTTGTGGGCCGGATCTGGCTCCCGGGCCTTGACTTTGACACCCGTGGCTTAAACCATTATATGTAAGTAGTAAGTAAAATTTATATATACTGTCCGAAAAAGTACAAATTCCAGCACCAACTAAATAATAATTAAAGAAAGCGTACAAAAGGTGCGTAGTACAGAATATGCAGTGTCTTAACAGTTTTAAGTATTTTAACAGTTTTAAGTGTTTTAACGGCCCTGAAAGGCTGAGGCACAGACATAATGGGCGTCAGTGGGAGGTGTGACCCTCATTGAAAACCATTTGGAACAAGCTGCGACGTGTCGGAGGAAGCGGGTCACTGCAGGAGACACACAACAGAAAAGGCCTTTGAAGCTGCAGCGCCAGAATCAAAGCCATCGGACGAGTCTCGGTCCGGTTTGTGCTCCGCGGAGGATGCTTTCAAGGCGGCTCGAAACTTTTGCCTGTAGTTTGTTGTTGTTTGTAAAGCTTTTATTGTACAGATGTTATCAAGACACAAAATACACACACAGACACAGACAGATACACACGCAGAAACATACACACACAACACACAGACACACAACAGAGAGAGAGATACATAAACGGACAGATACATACACCCACACACACAACAGACAGATACACACACATACACAAACAAACAGATATACAGACACACAACTGAGAGACAGATACACACGCAACACACACACACACATTGGTTTAATATAAAAATAGGTTTGATTCTTTTCTAAAAATGGCCAAATCTAATCTGGATTGTGTGGATTAATGGTCCCAGTGGGCGGGGACATGTGAGTGGGCGGGGACAGGTGAGTGAGTGGGGACAGGTGAGTGGGCGGGGACAAGTGAGTGGGCGGGGACATTCAGACAGGTGACAGGTGAGTGACAGGTGACAGGTGAGACAGGTGAGTGGACGGGGACAGGTGAGTGGGCGGGGACAAGTGAATGGGCGGGGACATTCAGACAGGTGACAGGTGAGTGACAGGTGACAGGTGAGACAGGTGAGTGGACGGGGACAGGTGAGTGGGCGGGGACAAGTGAATGGGCGGGGACAAGTGAGGGGGCGAGGTCAGGTGAGTGGGCGGGGACAGGCTAGTAGGCGGGGACAGGTGAGTAGGCGGGGACAAGTGAGTGGGCTGGGACAGGTGAGTGGGCGGGGACAAGTGAGTGGGCGGGGACAAGTGAGTGGGCGGGGACAGGTGAGTGGGTGTTGAAAAGTGAGTGAGCAGGGACAAGTGAATGGGCGAGGTCAGGAGAGTGGGCGGGGACAGGTGAGTGGGCGGGGACAAGTGAGTGGGCGAGGTCAGGTGAGTGGGCGGGGACAGGAGAGTGGGCGGGGACAGGTGAGTGGGCGGGGACAGGTGAGTGATACAGGAATTCTTAAACTTCCTTAAATTCAGTGGAAAGACGTTAGCTTTGTCAGACTGAGGTCAGAGTCAGCCTCTCGCTCCTGCTTCACGTCTGAAAGATCCCGAAGGTGACTTTGTGAAGTGTATCCATATTCATGCTCACGCCAACGTTAGCGTTTTTAGCATGTTTGCTCATTAGCGCGTTACCTCATTAGCATTTCTGATGGATTTCCCGCTGCCTGATGTTTGCATTATTGATCTGAGCATAGATTTCTCAACCGCAGATTAAACAAGTGTTCGTGCTGCACCAGTGTAGAGGCTAGAGCTGCACCAGTGTGGAGGCTAGAGCTGCACCAGTGTAGAGCTGACCCAGTGTAGAGCTGACCCAGTGTAGAGCTGCTCCTGTGTAGAGGTTAGAGCTGCACCTGTGTGGAGGCCAGAGCTGCACCAGTGTAGAGCTGACCCAGTGTAGAGCTGACCCAGTGTAGAGCTGCTCCTGTGTAGAGGTTAGAGCTGCACCTGTGTGGAGGCCAGAGCTGCACCAGTGTAGAGCTGACCCAGTGTAGAGCTGACCCAGTGTAGAGCTGCTCCTGTGTAGAGGTTAGAGCTGCACCTGTGTGGAGGTGAGCCAGTGTAGAGCTGACCCAGTTTAGAGCTGACCCATTGTAGGGCTGACCCAGTGTAGAGCTGACCCTGTGTAGAGCTGACCCAGTGTAGAGCGGAGGACCTTGTTTTTCATTCTGTATGAATGAAAAACGTTTAAACTTTTAAAACTTTCCATTGAGTTTGAGTAATTAGTAATTTGGACAAGTATCAGTTACTTTGTGTCAGAAGGAAACATATGAAGCTGAAGAGTTTCTCTGTAAAACCAACAGTCCTCATTTCATCGCTTCATTCGTTACAAACTAAAGTGTTGAACTAGTTTCAAATGTGTCGCCTTCAACAGATGTGGAACCATTTCCTCTGCTCTGGTCTGGATCAGTGTGAAACCTCAAATAGAAAACATCGACAGTTTCAGAGACACTAAAACATTACCCTCTTGGTGACGAGGAGCTCCATGCTGTGTTCGTGAGAGGGTTGGTCTCTGAAGTCAGTCTTGCAATTCACTTTAACACTTTAAAACTATCATTCTGGATAGTTACATGAACTCAGAATATTGATGTTGATATAGTTGTTTATCTAAATGCTATTGTATGAACTCACTTATATGAATGACACTTGTAAAAACGGCAAAATACTCATTCGCTTCAGCTTCTGTTTTTCTGTTTTTCTTTCTGCTGTAGTTTACTGTCCTGTCACAATCTGTAAAATGGTAAAAGTGACCGAAATAAACGTCATTCATTCATTCATGTCCTGAACTACGACATTTTTTGCCTCTAACATGTTTCACACTTCTGTCTTTTGCACAAATCTGAGTGATTCTATCGGTGCAAATGTGACGTGTACATTTCTCCACCAGAGATCAATAACCTCTGTCTTATCTTATCTATTCATTCATTCATTCATTCATTCTCCAAAAAGGTGTCCCTCCCAGACCTGGATCTCTGCGGTCTGTGGTTAGCAGCGGTACGTTGGGTCCAGGGCAGTGCTGTGGAATGCAGTGACAGGCAGTATTTATGAGAACTTAAAGAGTAGTTAAAGTTTCATTTAGCAAACACTCCCGTCTCCACCTGTGATGTCATACACTGTGCCGAAGGTTGTGTGTCAGGCGTGTGTCAGAGCGGACGTCTCACTCTGAGCTCTGACCTCTCTCTGTCGTCACACAAATGTTTGAAAACAGACTTAAACAAATCTATCTAAATGTTATGTTCCAAAGTGGTCCACATTAGCCACACACAAGCAAACAACCAAACAAGATTAAACCAGATCAAACCAGATTAAAGAAGGAAGATAACTGGAAGAGTGAAAAGTTCTCAGAAATTACTGACTGATTGTGAATATTTAGAGTTGGCTGTAACAAGTGTATTTTGTCTTAGAGGGCTTAGAACATAGTTGTCAAAGTCAAGGCCTGGGGGCCAGATCCGGCCCGCGAGACCATTTCCAGTGGCCCCTGAGATTATTTTAAATTGTTATATTAATGAGCAGCATTGATGGTATTAGGCCTCAATGGCATGTTATCCATTTCTAATTTTGTCAAGAAAACAACCATAAGAAATGTTAAGCTAATGTGTAATCAGCAGTTAGTTTTGTTATGTTATGCTTTTTGCGAGTCTTCAATTAAATTTCTTCTTAAAGATATGAAGTATGATTTCCCAATTTTCTTTGGAAAGAACCGCCCTCTCCACTTTTTGAACAAAACTCTCTGGTCTCATTGGACGAGCACGAATCACCAGAATGATTGACAGTTGGGAGGACCAATAGTCTTGTTGATCCACCCGGAAGTAGAAATTTGTTCTTACACCTTTAATATTTGGTCCGGTTTTGGTCCAGTTTTGGTTCAGTTTTGGTTCAGTTTTGGTACAGTTTTGGTTCAGTTTTGGTCCAGTTTTGTTTCAGTCTACAGGAACTGAACTAACTCTAATCAGAAAATAATATCCAATCTAACTAATGTGAAACAAGTCACTTATTTAGATAAAAGAAACCCACTTATTCTTTCGGCCCCTGACCAGCCCTTTCATTTTTTATTCGGCCCTCAACCAACACCCCTGGCAGTGTTTCCCACAGGTTTGAAGGCAATGTGTGGTGGTCGTCGGCGGGGGGGGGGGGGGGGGGGGGGGGGGGGGGGGGGGGTCGGCCGGCAAAAATTAACAATGACATCGTTAATTGGTCAAATACAGCTTTATTGGACTGATCAAAATATCAAACATTATTCACACGCTGTATATTACACTATAAATACTGTTAACGCTGTATAAACCTACTTGTTGCAAAAAATAACATTATTCACACGCTGTATAAACACTATATTACACTATAAATACTGTTAACGCTGTACAAACCTACTTGTTGCAAAGTTTGCATGTTTTATCAGAGCACCTGATTTTAACTTTATAAAGAAAGCGTCATCGCTTGTTAAGGGAGTCGGGACGGAAATTCAACATTGACACTGAACATTCAGCACTTTTTAATGTGTGATTTACGAGATCACGGGATACCAACCTTTAGTGAACTTCACCAGCCGTCTTCTCTGCACCAAAATTAATAGACACAGCTGCTTACAGCGATGATCGCTGATGGAGACGGAGACACGCGGTGTGCACGAAGGGGAGGGGCTGTGTGTGTGTAGGTCTCTGTATGTGGGAGAGACGCGTAGCTTGAGTGAGAGTTACGAAGGGCCGCCACATTTTAAACCCCCCTCCCCGCTGTCAAATTGACCGCTGCGGCGGCACTAGACGATGCATGTTTTAAATAGCGTAACAAAAAAAATATATATATAATAATACGAAACGCAATTTGTGGCGGGCGGTCTCTAATCTGTGGCGGTGCGCCACAGATTAGTCTATGTGTGGGAAACACTGCCTGGCTTAGAAGCTTCTTTTAACAACTCTTTTAACTTTGTTGTCTCATTAAAAGAAATTAGCGTTTAGAGTCCGCTGGAGAGAGACCTCCTTCACTCACACAGATCTGATGTAGATGTAGGAACTGAAATGATGGAGTAAAGCATTAAAGGGTCACGGAGCAGTGTCACCTCCCACTTCCTGGTTGTTTTTATGACAGGGCCATAAATGAGATCACATGGACTGAAGTGGTTCTGAGAGTCCCGTGTTTGGACTTGTTCATTCCCTGGATCCACAAACCTCTTTTTACCGATGACTTTGTTCTCCGAGTCCTGTCATTTCAAGTGTCTAAAGACTAGTGTTGTTCAGGTGCGTTTCAAACTCACTGATGAGACTGATGTGTCTCTGATGTGTCTCTGATGTGTCTCTGATGTGTCTCTGATGTGTCTCTGATTTGTCTGATGTGTCTCTGATGTGTTTGATGTGTCTCTGATGTGTCTCTGATGTGTCTGATGTGTCTGATGTGTCTAATGTGTCTGATGTGTCTCTGATGTGTCTGATGTGTCTTTGATGTGTTTAATGTGTCTCTGATGTGTCTGATGTGTCTAATGTGTCTCTGATGTGTCTCTGATGTGTCACTGATGTGTCTATGATGTGTCTCTGATGAGTCTCTGATGAGTCTCTGATGAGTCTCTGATGAGTCTCTGATAAGTCTCTGATGTGTCACTGATGTGTCTATGATGTGTCTCTGATGAGTCCCTGATGAGTCTCTGATGTGTCTCTGATGTGTCTCGGATGTGTCACTGATGTGTCTCTGATGTGTCACTGATGTGTCACTGATGTGTCTCTGATGTCTCTGATGTGTCTCTGATGTGTCTCTGATGTCTCTGATGTGTCACTGATGTGTCTCTGATGTGTCACTGATGAGTCTCTGATGTGTCACTGATGTGTCTGATGTGTCACTGATGTGTCTCTCATGTGTCTCTGATGTGTCACTGATGTGTCTGATGTGTCTCTGATGTGTCTCTGATGTGTCTATGATGTGTCTCTGATGAGTCCCTGATGTGCCTCTGATGTGTCTCTGATGTGTCTCTGATGTGTCTGATGTGTCTCTGATGTGTCTGATGTGTCTCTGATGAGTCTGATGTGTCTGATGTGTCTCTGATGAGTCTGATATGTCTCTGATGTGTCTCTGATATGTCTCTGATGTGTCTCTGATGAGTCTGATGTGTCACTGATGTGCCTCTGATGTGTCCGATGTCTCTGATGTGTCTCTGATGTGTCTGATGTGTCACTGATGTGTCTCTGATGTGTCTGATGTGTCTCTGATGAGTCTCTGATGTGTCTCTGATGTGTCTGATGTGTCTCTGATGTGTCTGATGTGTCACTGATGTGTCTCTGATGTGTCACTGATGAGTCTCTGATGTGTCTCTGATGTGTCTCTGATGTGTCACTGATGTGTCTCTGATGTGTCACTGATGAGTCTCTGATGAGTCTCTGATGTGTCTGATGTGTCTCTGATGAGTCTGATGTGTCTCTGATGTGTCTCTGATGAGTCTCTGATGTGTCTCTGATGAGTCTGATGTGTCTGATGTGTCTCTGATGTCACTGATGTGTCTGATGTGTCACTGATGAGTCTCTGATGTGTCTCTGATGTGTCTGATGTGTCTCTGATGAGTCTGATGTGTCTGATGTGTCTCTGATGAGTCTGATGTGTCTCTGATGTGTCTCTGATGAGTCTCTGATGTGTCTCTGATGTGTCTCTGATGAGTCTGATGTGTCTCTGATGAGTCTCTGATGTGTCTCTGATGTGTCTCTGATGTGTCTCTGATGAGTCTCTGATGTGTCTCTGATGTGTCTGATGTGTCTCTGATGTCACTGATCTGTCTGATGTGTCTCTGATGAGTCTGATGTGTCTCTGATGTGTCTAATGTGTCTCTGATGTGTCTTTGATGTGTCACTGATGTGTCTCTGATGTGTCTGATGTGTCTCTGATGAGTCTCTGATGTGTCTCTGATGTGTCTGATGTGTCTCTGATGTGTCACTGATGTGTCTCTGATGTGTCACTGATGAGTCTCTGATGTGTCTGATGTGTCTCTGATGTGTCACTGATGTGTCTCTGATGTGTCACTGATGAGTCTCTGATGTGTCTGATGTGTCTCTGAAGAGTCTGATGTGTCTCTGATGAGTCTGATGTGTCTCTGATGTGTCTCTGATGAGTCTCTGATGTGTCTGATGTGTCTCTGATGAGTCTGATGTGTCTCTGATGTGTCTGATGTGTCTGATGTGTCTCTGATGTGTCTCTGATGAGTCTCTGATGTCACTGATGTGTCTGATGTGTCTCTGATGTGTCTGATGTGTCTCTTATGTGTCTGATGTGTCTCTGATGAGTCTGATGTGTCTGATGTGTCTCTGATGAGTCTGATGTGTCTCTGATGTGTCTCTGATGAGTCTCTGATGTGTCTCTGATGTGTCTGATGTGTCTCTGATGAGTCTGATGTGTCTCTGATGAGTCTCTGATGTGTCTCTGATGTGTCTCTGATGAGTCTCTGATGTGTCTCTGATGTGTCTGATGTGTCTCTGATGAGTCTGATGTGTCTCTGACGAGTCTCTGATGTGTCTCTGATGTGTCTCTGATGAGTCTGATGTGTCTGATGTGTCTCTGATGTCACTGATGTGTCTGATGTGTCTCTGATGAGTCTGATGTGTCTCTGATGTGTCTTTGATGTGTCTGATGTGTCGCTGATGAGTCTGATGTGTCTGATGAGTCTGATGTGTCTGATGTGTCTCTGATGAGTCTGATGTGTCTCTGATGAGTCTCTGATGTGTCTGATGTGTCGCTGATGAGTCTGATGTGTCTGATGAGTCTGATGTGTCTGATGTGTCTCTGATGAGTCTGATGTGTCTCTGATGAGTCTCTGATGTGTCTCTGATGTGTCTGATGTGTCTCTGATGAGTCTCTGATGTGTCTCTGATGAGTCTCTGATGTGTCTCTGATGAGTCTCTGATGAGTCTCTGATGTGTCAATGAGAGCTGCACCCACTGCTCACAGCACCGGTCCCTCTGATCCTCTGCAGGGGGTGGGTCCACAGGAAGAGGGCTGCTACATCAGAGGTGCCACAGTCTTGGTCTTTCAGCGGGGGCTTCAGGCAACGTGGGGTTAAGTGTCTTGCCCAAGGACACAGCGGCAGTAGTGGTTAGGGTTAGTGGGAGCAGTTGGAGTAGGTCCTACAGTTACCCCCAAAATAACGAATATAATACACAATAACACAAGACTGAAGAAAGATTTCCCATCATCCTTAGACCAATCAGGCGTTGTCCTTTATTATGTTCTTAAACATGTATATTCTGTGTATAGTTTAAGACCGAAAGGAAAGGAAGGGAGCGGAGTCTGTGTGTTCTGCTGCTTTTGGAATGAAAACCTGCAAAATCTCTGCTTTTTGAGGACCGCTCTGACACCTGAGGCTTATAGAAACTCAAACTTCCTCTTGTCTCTCTTGTTTCTCTGCTCCATCTGTGGTTTATTATTAGAGTGTCTCTGAAGAGTCTGATGTGTCTCTGATGAGTCTGATGTGTCTCTGATGTGTCTCTGATGAGTCTCTGATGTGTCTGATGTGTCTCTGATGAGTCTGATGTGTCTCTGATGTGTCTGATGTGTCTGATGTGTCTCTGATGTGTCTCTGATGAGTCTCTGATGTCACTGATGTGTCTGATGTGTCTCTGATGTGTCTGATGTGTCTCTTATGTGTCTGATGTGTCTCTGATGAGTCTGATGTGTCTGATGTGTCTCTGATGAGTCTGATGTGTCTCTGATGTGTCTCTGATGAGTCTCTGATGTGTCTCTGATGTGTCTGATGTGTCTCTGATGAGTCTGATGTGTCTCTGATGAGTCTCTGATGTGTCTCTGATGTGTCTCTGATGAGTCTCTGATGTGTCTCTGATGTGTCTGATGTGTCTCTGATGAGTCTGATGTGTCTCTGACGAGTCTCTGATGTGTCTCTGATGTGTCTCTGATGAGTCTGATGTGTCTGATGTGTCTCTGATGTCACTGATGTGTCTGATGTGTCTCTGATGAGTCTGATGTGTCTCTGATGTGTCTTTGATGTGTCTGATGTGTCGCTGATGAGTCTGATGTGTCTGATGAGTCTGATGTGTCTGATGTGTCTCTGATGAGTCTGATGTGTCTCTGATGAGTCTCTGATGTGTCTGATGTGTCGCTGATGAGTCTGATGTGTCTGATGAGTCTGATGTGTCTGATGTGTCTCTGATGAGTCTGATGTGTCTCTGATGAGTCTCTGATGTGTCTCTGATGTGTCTGATGTGTCTCTGATGAGTCTCTGATGTGTCTCTGATGAGTCTCTGATGTGTCTCTGATGAGTCTCTGATGAGTCTCTGATGTGTCAATGAGAGCTGCACCCACTGCTCACAGCACCGGTCCCTCTGATCCTCTGCAGGGGGTGGGTCCACAGGAAGAGGGCTGCTACATCAGAGGTGCCATAGTCTTGGTCTTTCAGCGGGGGCTTCAGGCAACGTGGGGTTAAGTGTCTTGCCCAAGGACACAGCGGCAGTAGTGGTTAGGGTTAGTGGGAGCAGTTGGAGTAGGTCCTACAGTTACCCCCAAAATAACGAATATAATACACAATAACACAAGACTGAAGAAAGATTTCCCATCATCCTTAGACCAATCAGGCGTTGTCCTTTATTATGTTCTTAAACATGTATATTCTGTGTATAGTTTAAGACCGAAAGGAAAGGAAGGGAGCGGAGTCTGTGTGTTCTGCTGCTTTTGGAATGAAAACCTGCAAAATCTCTGCTTTTTGAGGACCGCTCTGACACCTGAGGCTTATAGAAACTCAAACTTCCTCTTGTCTCTCTTGTTTCTCTGCTCCATCTGTGGTTTATTATTAAATGGTCTTCAATAGAGAAAAGCCGGTAGAAGAGGCTGAGTTATGGATCATATCTGCGGAGAGGCGATTCTGTTTAAGTTAAAAATCTGTTGCATCGGCCCCTGCGGACTCTCTTCTGTCCAGACTCTTTGATTCTCTGATCTGTGTTTTTGTGAAGTCCTTGGAGATACAGTAACTCCTGGTCTGATTTAGGGCAACACAAAAATGAATTGAATTGATATTTTGACTTAGCGTGTGGACAGAACGGAGCTGACTTCTCTGCGTTTTAGATTTCAAATGTGCAGAACCAGCGGTGTGATTCTTACAGCAGTTAAAGGCACATTACTGGGTCTCTAAGTGCTCTCGCTGGGACCACTCTGCTCCGGTCCCGGGTGTGGGAGGTGTTGGCAGCGGCCGCCTCTCTCTCTGCAGCAGTAACTCTAGCCGGCCCATATCAGCGGCCCACATCAGCTCAATAACATTTCCAACACATTAGCTGCTTTTCTCTTTGGCTCAGGGCCTTCCTCCCCCCTCCTCACCCCTCCCTCCTCCCCCCGGTCGGGCTGGCACGCTGCCCAAATGCCATGCTCCGTGTCTAGACCGTGCCCACCGCGTCCCTCTCAGTTTCCCCCAGAGTGGACCAGGGCACTGCCAAGAATACCAACACACTGGAACACAGGGGAAGTAGAAAAAGAGCAAATTCAAAGTCCATTTCAGAGCTTCATTTAAAAACTTAAAGCACGGGTACCTAACTCTCCGACCAAAAGCAAACACGTGTCGGTGTAACTCTGGGCATGTTCGGCCTCTGTCACATCCTCAGCTTTTTACACAGAAATGTCAGTGCCCGTTACCATGGCAACGCAATGCTTACGAGAGCTAGTTTGTTGTTGCTGAATTTTTTCTAAAACCATTTACTCAATTATTTATAGTTAAAAAGTGCTGATGATTTAAAGCAATGATTCTGTTTAGTATTTCACCAGCGCTGGTTCTTGTATCGGGTCCTGGTCTGAGGTCTGGCCTGGCTCTGGTCTTGCCCTGGTCTGAGGTCTGTCCTGGCCCTGGTCTTTCCCTGGTCTGAGGTCTGGCCTGACCCTGGTCTTGCCCTGGTCTGAGGTCTGTCCTGGCCGT